ATCTCTCAGCCATCGTCTGGTCATTGTGTCATCCATCATCTAAAATCCAGTATTGATCATTCTCTTCTCTCTGTTTGTCTTTCTCAGAGTCGTGCACTCTCTCTCTCTAGATTTTTCGCCCGATTTTGATGTTAGTTTGCTTGGTGACGAAGGCATTGATTTTTCAATTCCCCATTTCATCAATATGTTTTGACCCTTGCATCTCGAGTTTGAAACTCCCTCTCCCATAAATTATCGTAATAATTTCAAACCCTCCCCCTCCCCTTAATAATAATAATATTTTTATTAAAAAATCAATAAGTTCCGATTAGTTGGGAGCCGTGTTAATTGGCGAAGAAAAGAACCTAATAGAAAGGGCTAACGAGAACATGAAAATCGCACATTGATAGAACTTAGAAGCAGAATTCAAGTTTGTCAGCAACCACCAACACCATGTGAAAAGATTAAACTCTAGGAGGACCAGCTCTATCACCTACTTCTTCTCTCTCCATTTGGTTGGGGTCCTAATCCCCTTAAAAATCTTTAGAAATTAGAGGGATAACTCTAGTTTTTTCTATGTGAAAAAAAAAATATCAAGGTAGGCCCAGACCATTTTGGTCCCTTCATGGCTCCGTCCATATTCAATTTATATCTAAATAAACAATACTACAACATATATAGGGATAACTCATGATTATTTGGTTTAGTGACACCTAGTGATCTTCTATTTTTATATCAATTATTCTTTTTTGTGTTTGGGTAAGGAGCTTTCACATTACAAATGAAATTTAAGTTTGATTGTTAAATAGGAGCAACAAGAACGTGGTAATGAACTACTAACATACCCCAAATGCACTACAATGACACAAAACTACGGATTTCCAAAATAATATTTTTCAAGATCTCATTTAAAAGTTCTCTCAAATATATATATATATATATATATATATATATATATATATATATATGACACAAAACTACGGATTTTCAAAATAATATTTTTCAAGATCTCATTTAAAAGTTCTCTCAAATATATATATATATATATATATATATATATATGTGGCATCTAGTTTCAAGTTCTTTTATCTAATTTTTAGTGTATTCCTAAAAAATTTAGCTTAATTTCCAAGAAACTTTAAAATCCCTAGTTCAAATTTAGGGTTATAGAAGTTAAGTGTTTACCTCCACACATCTCCGTAGGCCTAGAATGTGGTGAATGAGTGATTTTTCAGTGTAACCGGTACACAGGATGGTACATCACGTGTCACTATACAAATGGTGGGATATGTGTGCTAAAAAGTTAATAACTTAAAAAATAAAATTTCCCACCACCACTTCTATTAAAACACGTGATGTACCACTTGTATTCCCGTCATAATTCAAAATTTCTCGTGGTAAATGTAGAAACATACATGGGGAATAATATGAAGGACAACTTTGAGGTACGACTTGAGTCATTGCTTAAAGCGTTATTTGCCTTCAATAAAATGATTTTGCTAAAGGGTTCTTGCCAAACCACTTCCATGATACAACAATTAAAGTTTAGAATCCGCAAGCAGCAAAATTCGAGTATTCCCTTAGAAATAACTTGAATAAAATGGACATGTTTATTCAACTGAAGTATGCAACCATTTATATTACCGGATCATGGTGAACACATGATTCAATTACCGGATCCTAAAATTTCTCCAATATTAGGATTTTATCATAAAATATAAATAGAAAAGATAATATGACTCTCTTAATATGAGACTTTCGATAAACTCTCTGCTACTTCACAATTTAACGTTAATTTCTGTGCCAATATTATAAAATATTGTACCAAGAACATGAGATGATAAAGAATTCATAAAATGTTTTACACTTTTAACATTTGTCAAATATAAAACCTCAGGAAGCGAAAGCGTTTTAATTCTGGAAAATGCAATGGTCGGATGGACTGTCTCCGTTATCACTACACGCTGGTCAAAACCCTGAGCGCACACAAACAACAAACTGGAACGAAAATAAAGCTGTACGTGTCAAACTGGAATACATGAAGAAATTTGACCCAATATAATTATGTAGGACAAAACACCTTTCATGTGCCAGAATATGTCGACTTCTGTACTCGATGATGAGTCTCTTTCGAATTTAGGGTTCTTTGAGCCCGGCCGGCACTTGGGGTCCAAGTTCATGAATTCATTTGTTTCATGATTGCATTTTCATGCAATTGAAGATCTTATGCGTACAATTCCATATATACTAATTAATCAGTGGTTTAAACTAATTCAGAGATTAATTAGAAAGAACATATAACTATAATTGGTTGGTGGAAGTGTACTAATGTTTCTTGTTAATTGATTGGTGCTACTGCATTTAGATAGTACATCCTTGTACGTAGTAATGTTTTTCGTGTGACAAAAGACAATTATCCAAATTAACAATACTACAAAATATATAAGGATAACTCATGATTATTTGGCTTAGTGACACCTAGTAATCTTTTTTTTTTTTAATTTGGCTTAGTGACGCCTAGTGAATAACTTAAAATCAAATTAATAAAAAAGTTACCAAGCAAATCCTCAATTAATTGAGTTGATAATCTACAATTTTCAATTAATAGGTTATTTACGAATTCACTAAAAACCATTATATATCAATTATTTTTTTTATGTTTGGGTAAGGAACTTTCAAATTACAAATGAACTTTAAGCTTGATTGTTAAATATGGACAACAAGAACATCATAATGAACTACTAAAAACTCCAAATGCACTACAATGACACAAAACTACGGACTTTCAAAATAATACCTTTCAAGATGTCATTTAAAAGTTCTCTCAAGTATATGTACTTATGGCATCTGGTTTCAAGTTCTTCTATCTAATTCTTATAGTGTATTCCTAACAAATTTAGCTTAATTTCCAAGAAACTTTAAAATCCCTAGTTCAAATTTAGGGTTATAGAAGTTTAAGCGTTTACCTCCACACATCTCCGTAGGCCTAGAATGCCCCCATAGCAAATGTTGTGGTAAATGTAGAAACATACATGGAGAATAATATGTAAGACGACTTTGAGGTACGACTTGAGTCGTTTGTTTATAGTGTTATTTGCTTCTACTAAAATGAGTTTACTAAAGGGTTCTTGATAAATCACTTTCAAAATACAAGAAGGTTTAGAATCCGCAAGCAGAAAAATTCAAAGTATTCCCTTAGAAATAACTTGAATAAAAAGGACATGTTTATTCAATTGAAGTATGGAACCATTTATATTATTTCCATCCCTTCAATATAATTGAGGAGCTGCAACGTTTTATGCCTATTAGACATAAAACTATTATGCATTATACAATTCCAAGAGCCATGTCCTTTAGATAATGTCCAACCGTTTGTTACCATGCCTTTTCATAATGAAAGGCTATAATATACAGTGTCTCAATATGCCTCTTCAGTCCTACTATTTTAGTGGATTAAAATGTAAATTTCATTAGTGAGTAAATTATTTTCTGCCTTCATGTTTGACATTATTTTTTTTTTTTCAACATGTCAAACATAGTGAATTATTAATTCTATTTAATTATAGAAACCAAATGATGTCCTTAATTAATTATAGAACATTATGAGCTGTTTTATCTTATGATTTTATGTATAATTATTTTAACTGAATTATGTTGTCCTAATTAACAAATATTATTCTGAATTTACGACGAGCGAAGATAAACCACAATCTCAAGACACGTTTGGCAATGAGTTAGATCACGAGATGCTCTGCAATTTTATATGCATTGAGAGTCAAACTCCAACTTAGGTAACCGTTGGTGGAACTTTTGAGGAATTGACACGTATCTTCTTATAATATGGTCACAAAAATTGGTAGTTCCAAAATGATTATTGATGGTAATGCTTCAACTTCTTTAATCAAATCCTGCCAAAAAAATTCAAGTGAAGGGAGATTTTTAAGTGTAATTGTATAAAATCATATTTTGGACAAAGAAAGCTATTAATCATTGATATTTTTCTCACACATAACAATCTACTCAATATACATAAGTTACATTTAGTTCTGTCATATTTTATTATGAAGCTTTTTACATTCGTCAACACATGTGAATGTAAAAGGTTTCAAAAAAAAAAACATAGCCACTAGAGAGAAAAAAGAAAAGAAAAAACCTACCACCTCCGATCACATGCTTTTGCTTTGGTGTTGTCGGCAATCCTTCTTGATCCGTTTTTCTCTTTCTCTTACTGTTTCTATTAGTGCTCACTCTCTCGCTTTGTTGAGGAGAGCCTTCGTGGTTGTGGTTGCTCTCTCATTTTGTTGAGATGAGCCTTTTATAATGGTTATGACTTGCTGCTCAACATCAAATCTTAAGAGACGATCATTGTTCAAATTTGAAGTGGTGATTTTGTGGTTTATGTGCCTGAAAAATGATTATGAGGATGATGCTCCAGGTTTGTTGAAGGCGACTCGTCATAGGTTTTTTGTCAACGATTGTATGATCATCAAATGGTGGTGCGGTCTTTCTATTCACTAGAAGAAAAAAGCTCATCTATCACGGTGGATGCCTGTGATAAATTGCAATCTACCACGGGCATTGTGCCCATTAGTATTCTGGATGTGATAGAAAGTCTTTGTTTCTACCACGGACTATGCACGTTGTTAAATGTAATGTAACCACGAATTGTGCCCGTAGTAGATTGGGATCTAACATCACGTGCTATGGACATTGTAGATTACAAATTGATCACGGCTAATGCTCATTTATAAAAAAATTTCCAAAAGTAAAAAAAAATTAAAAATGATTTAATAAATTAAAAAAAATTATATACAAAATTGCAAATTTAACTTTATTAAAATTCATATATTCAAATATTACACTAAAATTACCAACAAAATGAGTACCTATATTAAGAAATATACCAAATCACCAAAATATGTAGAGACTTTGCTTCACACTCTAAAACAAAACTCAAGTCCTAGTTCCAACATTAGTCCTCCAATGATATTTGTCTTCTCTGCAATCATTTCTTCAAGAAGACACATCTTCTGCAAGCCAATCACACTTTAAATTTGTAGGTGGCTGGAAATGTAGTTGATATTTGAGTTATAAACCCTCATGAATTAGACCCACCAACCACCTATGAGACAAACAAGGAAAAATATAAAACTTAGAAATCAAGACCACCTACACCAAATGAGGACATTTTAATTCCTTCAAATTGCTCATGTAAAAAAAACACAAAATTAAATGAGGGGATCCATACCATAAGACAACGGAAAAACAAAGGGAAAGACTCTTTGTCAATTACTGCGGATCTCCCCATTCTCCCTCGTCCTCGTTCTTCTTTATCTGTGCACGACTACATAGAAACCGTAAATTATTGGATCAATTTGCAATTTAAATTAGTGGATAAAATAAAAATAGAATGAGCACCTATTTATCCAAACTTGAAAGTAAATGAACCAAAAACCTAACGCAACTTTTAGGAAGGCTGGATGGAGGGATAGTCTATAGTTTGCATGCTTTTGTACCTGCAGGGATAAGTAGCATATGAGAAAAGATCGAACTTGTAGTGCCGCAACTTATCATGATCAATAACTGAACTAAAAAGAATAAATATGAAATTATTCTTATAAGATTACAGACTGAATAAGCAACATATGAAATTATTATGAGCGAGAGTGACAGAAAAGTAACACGCAGGGAGAGAGAAGGGGAGAAAGAATATACCTTTTTGAGAGATATTTGTCATGTTCACGCAACACAATTTTGATTCTAAAAAACCTGTCATGATTCATAAACAAAAAATAAAATCCGAGAATAATTTCAAAAGCACATAAAAGTTGTGTAAACAAATTTACTCTCTTGACTCTGCTTGCTTTACATTTCTACAACGAAAAAAAAATTATAAATAACTTGAGAGAAAAACCCAAATGAAAATTAAACAATACCAGCAATACACCGTGCGTTTTCAATCCCTCTACCCTGTTCTTGGATTGTTGTGTGGACCATAATTGGGAGAGGTAGTAATGGGTACCATTCACTCCTGATAAATTGAGTAAGAACAGAACCTGAATTGATGGAAAACTTTGTAGAACGTGGCGGTAGTTTTGGATTTGAATCCCACGATCGGCGGTTATCTCTTTTCTGCAAAACTTCTTCCCTTTACACGCTTAACCCACATGGCTTTAATCCATTTTATTTAGTCCTTTTAAAAAAAATTGTTTTATTTTTATTTTTATGACAAAATTACCCATGAGAATTTGGTTCTATTATTTTCAAAATACTAGTTGATTAAAAAATAAAAAATTTAAATTACAAAAATAACAATTACAATCCCTTGTAAAATTAAAAAGGCACTGTTGTTAAAACTTTTTGCAACCACGGGCTTTCCTTGTGGTAATATTTAGCTAAATTACAACGGGCTTTAAACGCACGTTGTTATTTTAACCATTTCAACCACGGGTTTGTTTATGCCTGTTGTTATAATAATTATTTACCACGAACTTCAAATGTCCGTGGTTAAATTTGACTTTTTATAACGGACTTTATACGTCCGTGGTCAATTAGCCGTGGTACATGTAGTGTTGTGGCGTAGTGATTGTGATGTCGTTGCAGTGGTTTAAGGTGATTTGTAGCCATGTGTTTTGTTTTCTATTTTGTTTTCTATTTTGGTATTTGTTTGCCTGGCAAGGGACTATAAGGAACTCTTCTTATTGTCAAGATTTCTTTGCCCTAGAAGCGTTTTTGTTTGCCAGTTCGACAATGTGATGCGAGGCCTATCCTCATGGGCGTTATCTTTTCTTTTGATAGGATGTGATTATGTGTCTGGAAATTTTATATTATTTAAGTAAGTGTACTAAACATGACACAACAGTTCAATAACTTTTGGTGATCACAATCTAGACATCAGGATTGCCTTATGTAAGCTCGTAATTTCTTGGAGAGATCAATCAATCAATTGTAAGTTCATATTCATTATTCGTATATAAAGAGAAGAGTTTAAGAGTTTAGATTCGATCCGCGTAATGCCCTAGTTTATATTAGCCGTTGGCTTTAAAAAAAAAACATCTCATTCTTGTCTTATATACCATTAGATTTCCTAATGTGTCCCTGAACTGAAAGCAACATCGGGATTAAGCCAACAAGAAGGAAAAATGATAACATTGTTTACAATCAGAGTCATTAATATATTGCGGTTATTCTTTGATTTGGGGGAATTTGATTAGTTGTTGCATTGGATGCAGGTAGTTCTGAGAAAGTTGGAACTTGTCTTTGTTTGCATAATACTTGAATAATAAGTTTAATGTAATTTGTTTTGTTTTATATCCTTCATAGTTTCCTTGCGGTTTATATCCAACCAGATGGCTCGATCGCTTGAGGCACCGTCCGTTTACTTGTTTATTTAATCAGTTAGTAGCTACCATCAGACAAAGGAAAGCAAAAGCTTATATATCCAATCATGATTAATAATGAGAAAATTAGTATTTTTTTAATTATTATAGGTATTTCAAAATTTTTGTTATTATATAATACTCACTGTATACTACATTATATTTTTGTTGTTAAGCAGAATTACGTGAAGACTATTTCGAGTACCAATAAGAAATATTTTGTAATAACATGGTTTGTTGTGATGATTCTGGAAGGTTAATTACATACCAAGAAAGAGACTTGTGATGTTGTTTAGTTAAGCATGGCATGTGATGAAGACTTTAGAGTCAACATCTGCATGATTATTTCTGGAATACTAGTGCTTGTTGTCTGTGTTCGACTCAATCATTCTTCATACTGTTTTGTTAGATGATTTATTTTTTAAGTAAAGATCAAATGATGGTTATTTTTTCTTGTTCGTAAAAGCTAATTTATGTTGTCGTTCATGAGGGCAACAGCCCCAAATCAACTTACAGTAGACCCTTTGGGGCTTTGCAAAGCCAACCAGGTACAAAAATATTAGCTCAAAGTCGAACTGAAGCAAGTCTATCTGCTCGTTGCCTAGATTTACAAGTTGCATGGGCCGGAGTGAGTCCATTTTTTTGTGAAATCTTAACATGTAAATTCACCCGAAAATCTGAACTCAATGTAGTTAAGTTGGACTTGAGTTTGAATTCTCATCTGTTAATTTATATTAGAATAATTAGAATATTTCTTAGGCAATAAAAAATCTAACAAATCCAAACCAATTACTTTTGTTGTAGTTAATATTGTTTAGGAATGTGATTCTGTAAGAATCTAATAGGATTTTGGAGATCAAATCCCTTTATGACTTGTAGTACTTGTAGGACAAGTAAAACTCATGTGATTAGTATAAAAGTATGTCAACAAAGAACAGTTAAGCCCTTTTCTTCTCTCTTTCTCTTGACATCCCTATCCTATCCTCACTCTCTAATAAAATTTCCTTCAACGCATTTTTTAATATTTTTTTTTACAAACGATAAATCTAGTGGTTTAATTGTTAAATGTTAGGGGGGAGAGGTGGGGATCGAACCCGTACCAGGGTGTGTAAGCATATTATTTTTCACCATTGCGGTAAAGCGCCATCTGCTTCCCTTCAACACGTTATCAGCACAAAATGTGTCTCTAAAAAGAGGATTGTTCAAGAACGGTGTTTAAGCAGTTATTATCCAAGTATCTTTTATACTTAATCTTTCTCAAATTTCTGCGAGCCTTTATGACACACCCCGACCGAGATCGAGCCATGCTGGGCGTCACGTGAGGATGACGTAGCCATGTGCACAGTGCGGAAGCAATAAAGATAAGAAATATACAAATAAATAAAAACCGAAAGCTACTAATGTGCACTAATAAACAGGAAGTGCTAGGAGTGAGATACAAGTGTAAATACTCCTAATCAGAGTATAGAAAGTCTAGGTGCAGTCCAATAGGACAAGTACTAGTTATACAGTACCGGAAAATATCCTACAAATATTATATTCTGTCAGAACTGCTGAGATCCCCGTACGCCACCAACATCAAGTCTACCTAAAACCTGGAAGGGCGCAAAACAGAAAATGTGGGGGGGCAAAAACCAAGCTTTTCAAAATCATTTCATTTATCAAACGCTCTAACCCCTCGTCGTAAAACATGTATAATTTTCCCAAAAATAGAATATAAACATATGCATAAATATATATATGTATATATCAATTCAAATCATGCTTCACATATTTATAATCGTAAGTATGTCATGCCAAAATATAAACAGGATAAGTAACCCAGGTGAAAATAAAATTCATGGAAAATAACACATTAGCCGGAACCTCTGCAGAAATTTGTATGGCTGAATTCACAGCTCATTAGTCTATCTAGCCAGAGTCACTGCAAATGACCTATACGGCACTACACTGCATACAAGTCGGAACCACTGAAAGGTCTGTACGACAAGACTGGGTGTAATATAGTCATGCTCATCACTACACTCTCATAATAGATGTGCGATAAATCGCCAGTCACTTATAAGTAGGAACCACCTATAATGGTTTGTACGACAAGACTGTGCACCTAAATTGGATCCAATGTGAACATATGGTGCGGGAGGTAACATTATATACGGGCTTGTGCCATATCTCTGGCTAATCACTAACACTGAGGTGCAGGTTTATGAGCTCTATGCTTCTTAATTAATCACAACCATTCAATACACATTCACAATTCATAAACTCACCTGGAACTTACCTGAGCGCCCACAGCACCAAATCACATTTATGCATACAATTTTAACTCATGGTTTAACATAAATCAATAGGCGTGGCATTTTCAAAGCATAAATCATTTAAATGCATTTTTTGGGAAAATATCAAGTATATACGTATATACTTAAAACCAAAAACCCACTTACTGGTATGTCGAAGGGTCGTAGCCCCCGAGCCGCCCCTGACTACGCTCGTCCTCAAGATAAGTCTCTCCTATATGCAAAACAACTATAAAAACGTTAATTTAAAGCACATAACCAATACTAGTTAATAACTTCTCATACATTGCTCATATGGGATATTTGAATATAACAACGTGATCTACACAACCTCATGAACATCCCCATATTTTTAGAAAAAAATTCAGACGTCCTACGCGCCGGCAAGGGCACAGCAACACGCGCAGGGACCCTAATGGAATCCCTTAACCCCGTTAGGAATATTCCGTTAAAAAGTAACATAAACTATTAATTCTACCTGATGGCGTCAGAATATTCTGTCAACTCTGACGGAATATTCTATCTTCTTCTCCGCTTAGCCTCGCTAGTCGTCGTTGCCGTCGCTGTTCACCAAAAACTGGAAAATCACGAAAACCTTCATATCTCGTCCAATTCTTAACCAAATTCCACGAAACTTGAACCAAATTGAAGTTTAGGACAAGTAGAACAAAACCTTACCTTTCAAAAGTCCTAAAACCAACGGAACTTACCAGAAAATCCTTCGATATTCCTGCTAAACCTGCAACTCCCTATTCCCGAGCTTCCCAACGTCCAAATCACTTCATTTTTCTTCTCCGAGCTTCTCGGATAGGTCCTTAAGCTCCATATAACTTCAAAACTCTCAGAAAACTACACATTTACGTGTGCATGAATAGTACCTCAAATCGGAAGTTATGGTTTCTCGGGTTTTACAAGCTTTCAAGTCCTAAAAATTGTACGAATTGACTCATGAGCTTGTAGGGAACAAGAACATCACATTTTTAATGTCGATCCGCGACTGGTTGAAGGAGTTTGAGGTTGACTGTATGGTTTGTACGGAAATGGAAGGAAATTCGGGAGGGAAGGGAGAGAGAGAGAATCAACGGGAGAGAGAGAGAAAAGTATGGGTGCTTGTGTGTGGTCCTAGTTAATCATAACCAACAAAACTAAGTCCTAAGTGTTCCAAAAACTTAGGAAAATCTTTGAATTG